GGCGGGAGCCGGGAGCCTCACGGTGTGCCGCGGTGCCCCGCAGCGCGATGGCGGCCAACTCCGAGCGCACCTTCATCGCCATCAAGCCCGACGGCGTCCAGCGGGGGCTGGTGGGAGAAATCATCAAGCGCTTCGAGCAGAAGGGTTTCCGGCTGGTGGCCATGAAATTCGTGCACGTAAGTCGCCTGCGCGGCGGGCTCAGCCCTGACAGGAAATTTTTTTTTTACACCCCCCCCCCAAGGAAACAAAAAATTGCTCTGAGGGCTTAACGCATCCTCATTGTGAGGGAGCGGAAATGACCTTGACTAAAAGGTTACGTCGGGTAGCACGATCTTCCAGGCATCCTGGACTCAGCTAATTGCTGAGGATTACCGTAAGGCACAGAAATGAGTTTGACAACTCTCAGCACTGCAGCCGCATCAGAAGAGGTGTCGTGTAGTGCATGAATTTTACAGCAGGAGTTCTGTTTTTAAACTCACTTAATACTGCAACAACTGCTCATAACGTTAATGGATAGCGCATCCAATCACTAATTCTGTAGTCCTAAAATAGTAGCAGCTTTTACATTGTAAGGTTTATGAAGCCAGCATCTAATGTTACATCTGTTCTTTTAAAGGCCTCTGAAGATCTTTTAAAACAACATTATATTGACCTGAAAGACCGACCATTCTACCCTGGTTTGGTTAAATACATGAACTCTGGACCTATTGTGGCCATGGTAAGTAGCTTGGTGTTTACTTAAATACTACTTTCTTGAATGTATTTTTCTTAATCTGTAAATTATTTTTAAAAATTCAGCTATTCAGTTTGTTATAAAAGCACTTTTTTCCCCTCAAATGACCCTGTTTTGATACACTGGCAGGAAAAAAAAATTAAAATGAAGAATAGTATTTTTTAAAATTAGGCTATCGTTAACAAGGAAATGCTGTGGGTGTAAGAAATATATATTAAAGAACGCTTAGCTTCTATGAAGCAAAATTCCTGAAAGCCAGACTTCTGCATCAAAGAATCCTTTGTTTGGGGAAGAAAGGGAGAAGGTTTTGGGGGTGCTGTCTCCCACAGAAACCCATCTCCTCTATCACTCTTATTTATACTCTCCCTAAAAAACAAAAAGCCTTAGTAGCATCACCCTCTGTTGTGACTAGAACACACTCACCTAATTATGAGTTGCTGCAACTCTTGAAGCTGACCTGATGCTAACAAAACAGGAGGAAGGTTCTGAAGCTGGCCTTGCTCATCAGGCCAACTTGCTCAACTTTGAGACCCTTCAGGGCATGTTAAAGAATACTTCCCCACACGCTTAAAAGTAGAGCTGTTCTGAAAGTGTGTTTTATTAAATAGCCCTCTGGCCTATTACAACGATAATAACTTCTTCTGTTTTCTGCCTATTACCACTCCAGTGAACAGAAACTACTTAAAAACACTAATTCCAGACTGCTTTTATTAGGGTTTCTCACATATTGTCTCTGTGAGCTAATCAGTAGCTGGATTAAAATATGTCATTTGCTGGAACAACAGTGTTGAAAACAATACAGAAGAGGCTGCTGCATTTTCTTAGACTATCTGGCCTTGTTCCTTAATAAAATCTAAGTAGTGAAACAAACCTAATTTCTTGTAAGAGCTCTTAGCTTATGTTTTTCCCTAATCTCGTTTACAGGTCTAATACAGAATCTAAAATAGATTATTTTTTTCTTAATGGGAAAGCCCTGCTTTCTTTACAAAATGTAAGTTATTAGCAAAGATTAATCTTCTGTGTTATTTCACATAAACATGCATTAATAGACTTGGTTTGTCTTTTATTTTCTCTCCCCTTTTTTTCTTTTTCTCTCCCTAAGGTATGGGAAGGACTCAATGTGGTTAAAACTGGGAGAGTAATGCTAGGGGAAACCAACCCTGCAGATTCTAAGCCTGGTACCATCCGCGGTGACTTCTGCATTCAAGTAGGAAGGTTCGTGCTCAGTGTGTTACCAACAGAGACTAAAGTGACTGTAGTCTTTTCTTCTAGAAGGGTGAAGTTGTTGATAGATTTAAGAATCCTAGTGTGATAATGTCTTATTTGCAGGTCACAGTCCATAACTGCTACTTAAGAAAATGACTTGGTACAAAACACTTTTTTTTTTTTTTTTTGAAATACAGCTACTCTTCAGAGCTTCACGTAAGATCAGTCAGTGGCATTGGCTCTTGTAGTAAAATAGCCCTAGTTACACTTGCTAAGCTTATTAGTTTGTTAGAACGGGATGGCATTTGAATACTGCAATTGAAACAGTAGTCTTGTAGCTCTAGATGCTTCATCTAGATTTTTGCATATGGAAAACTCCTAGGTTTCAAAAGGCATATTTCTATATGATGTGATATGTTTGACTCTTTCCTCAGAAACATCATTCATGGCAGTGACTCTGTAGAAAGTGCACAGAAGGAGATCAACCTGTGGTTCAAACCTGCAGAGCTTGTTGACTTCAAATCTTGCGCACATGACTGGATCTATGAGTAAAATGAGTTTCCACAGTGAATTGTGCCTTCTTAACATATCATCTCATTCCAGCTATTGATCTGGGAGCAATTATCACCACGGTTATCTTTGTCATTTTGCAGAACTGTCAAATAAATGGGATGATAAGAACTAATTCTTTGTGGTGCATTCACTGAAAAACAGGCCTGTTACAATGAACAACCAAGTAAAACATTTTCTCTTGTAGAAGTGATTGTGTTGAGACAAACTTCCCTGTGCAAGTATATTCAGGACTATAGTATTTCACGAGCTTTGTTTGCTACAACGTTGCTTTTAAACCCCTACTTAACTGCATAGAGTTGCACTGCTAAGCCAACTTGCAGTTGAAGAGATGCTTGAGCTGCCTCTAGTATCATGCCCCAGTGGCTTGCATAGCTGATCTATACTGAAAGAGAAATGTGACACTACTTGCTTTCAAAATTCCCCTCCTATACACAGCTATTAATCAACTGTGAAACATGAGGCTGAGTGCAAAACGTGCTCCTGTACCGTTTTTTTCCTACAACAGTTTTGATTAACTAGTTAAACAAGATACTTTCATATTTAGTTAATTAGCATATATTAACCAATTTCCATGCTCATTCAGTGGCAGAGATCTGGTCTTAGGAATAACTTTTGCAACAAATATTTTGAAAATAGAACTTAATAAATCTCTTCACTCAAAAGCTTTTAGATGCTTTAAAGCCATAAATATTTTTTTGAACAGGTCTGTGTGGCATTCTGCTTATCTAATGCCCAGCCAGCTCAGCATTTCCCACATTCCTCTCATTAAAAAATCTTATCTTGTTGGACTCAAAGCCTTTTATGTTTACTGTGCTCTGAACAATGTATGCAGTTGGTTATATAATACTATTGATTTTACAAATTGCAGTTGAGATCTGTACTCTCTAGTGAGAGAAACGAGTGCATTTATGGGCTAAGGTGTACTTTCTTTTAACGAAGCAATCACTATTCATAAATAGGCTTTTAACGTTTTTATTTTGTGTAAAAAAGGCAAATTTAGTGAATTATTTTCATCTTGTACACAAAGTTATAATTTTAATGCTTTTCACATCCATGCTGAAAATCTGCAGTCTCGTAAAAATGAAAGTAACATTAATTTCTCCAAAAGCATTTTTTCACTGTTATGTACATTGCATGAGAAAGTTTTAAATACTCTCTCTTATTGACCACACAAATTACCAAGAAAATAAAAGATTAAATTTGTACAGATATTGATCTATATATCAAATACATACAGAAATGATGTAAAAACCCTATTTGTTTTATCTTGATTCCCGCCCCAACACATTTCCCAGGGGCCAAAGGTGATGCCTTTTGTATAAATGGCTGTGGCTTTTCTTCTTAAATATGAAAATTAAAAGGAAGAAAAATTCAGTTTAAATCACAGTTTTTTTAAAATCCCTTCCCAATAAAGGATTGTTACCAAATATATTAGCACCATCGTACAAATATTAACGGGAGAGGGCATTCACATCACATAAAACAACAATAAAAACAAACAAACACTGAAACCCGTGTTAGTATCCGTAGAACGAGAAATCAATAACTGCTTTAGCTTTCCTCAGATGCAGCAAGGAAAAGGTTAAAGAGTTGTATTTAAAATAACATAAAAATCAAAACTCAGAAAGATTTTGAGCAATAAAAAAGGGTAGCTGCAAAGTAAGATACATAACTTGCACTACCCCATGGTTATAAAAACCTGCTATGCCAAATACTGAAATTAGTTTGACCCCCATTAAAGATTTCAGATGTCCAATACCTTGCTTTTCTTTTAGCCAAGTAACATAGCTTAAAGTGAAGATAAAAATGCTTGGAGCCATGTTACTAATTAATGCTTTACAAATACAGTGAAGCCTATACTATGGATACCACAGCTAACAGGCAACCCACTTTTAGAGAGACCATTCTCTAAATACCTGGAAGAATTTTGCTCAGGTTTTACTTTAAAACTCTCCTAAGGAACTAACTGAGGTCCTTTGCTTATAACGGCTTGCTTAGGACAGATTTCACTGTACTTGACAACTGAACAATATAGGTATATTTTGAACTCAGAAACATGAGAGAAATTTCACCCTAAAAATCTCAGCATGCAACTCCTACTGAAGTTGCATGTATATTTGAGAGCGCAAGTCAACCCATACACCTTAGTGTTTAGCTGACAAAATACCTATTTTTAAAGAACATTATGAAGACTGACAGACTTCAAATCGGATTCTTCCATTTCCTAAGAAATGTGTTCAACGTAAGTGCTAAATTTTCCTCTTAACACTTGAAGACTGTACCTCAAAATTCAGATATGACTGAGAAACCAAAGTTCTCATCTGGGCAACACACACACAAGCCCAGGGTTCCAAATTCCTTGACTTGGATATACCACTATCTCATTACTAGCCCAGTTTTCCAGCTCAAATTCATATTAGGACACAAATTTATGCAACAGTGTTTCTGCTTAAGTCATGAAGCTTGGTTAAAACAGAGGACTTAAGAGAGAAGAAAGCAAGGTTGTGCCAACCTGTTCTAGCTGACTGCGACAACCTGCTAATTGTCCCATTCAAAAAATCAACAGTAATGTGCTTACCAACCCAAATCAACGCTTGCAGAACCGGATTTCATAGCAGGTTAAATCGAGAGCCTGGGTAAATTAAGGCTCACAAAAATACCACTGCAACAACAGTGTCTAATCCTACATCTCCAGGACAGGCTATTTAAAATAAAGGTAATGGGTGGGTCAAAATCTGAAAGAACGTATTTGAAGTCTACCAACCCTGATACAGTCCTTTTACTATGGCTAGGTTAGAGCGCTAAATATCTTTACCACCTGATTTTATAGATATTTATAACCTGATAACCAGATTCTGTCATATAAGAAACTGTTGTCAGAAAGGGGTCATTCTTAAAGAACTTTTACCAGTAAGGGAGAAAAGAATTCCAGACATTCCTACACTATACAAGACAATTTTTACTTCCAGTAGTAAATACAAAACTTTACATAATTAACCCCTCTTGCATAGAATGAGGTAAACCTGTGCATATTACCAATACTATGTACCCAAAGTTAGAGCAATATTTTAGAAAATAATCAAATTGCTGGTTTTCAACTTTCTATGCACTTTTTTTTTTTTAAGCTCAAACAACAATATACAAAAACGGTCTTCTGTGGCTCTGTGGGTTGATATCCTTAAAGCGTTTCACAGGCTGTAGAAACACAGAAGTTAATCATTTTGATTAATTTCTTTTTTAAGCCTTAACCTATGGTCAAGAGTTAGATGCTCATAGTACTGCTCTGAAGGGGACCTGCTAAGACCCAGAAGCACTTGCAGAACATATGCAGTTAATTCCTGAGAGTTTAGTTAATGAACCTTACTGGTAAAAGCTAAAGCTCTTGATGCACATCTTTCCAGTCACAGCTCTGCAGGGCTGATAAATCATTCTGCTAATCAATCAATCAACTTCATTAATGAAGCCATCTACAAAAGTGTACAAAGTTTAAAAAATATGGAAAGATAAAATCCAAATCATTAATAGCTCAAGCTAAAGTACTTCATATTTTACTGTTAGTTATTTTCACTCTCTTGCATGATTTCTGCCTTTAAAATAGCTGGACAATCAAGCAGGTGGAGCTAATGGGATACCTGAAGTGAGACGCAAGGATTCCAAAAAAAAAAAGCAGATCCAGTTTATGAACACTTTCTCAAATCTCCATTTCCATATTACACTATCACAAGAAAAAAATATTGCAGGCTCTGCAGAGCTGAACTCAATTTTCATCCATAACATGTGGTTCTTGTTAGCTCACCTGGAACCACGTGGGACACCAATTTTGAACGTGTCGAAGCTCAGAAATAAATACCTAAGATGGTGAGAAAATATCTAGGTCTTCCTGAAGGGAAAAAATAAGTCAGAAGAACACTCAGAAGTCCTTTCCCAATGTCAAGCGAGGCCTGAGTTACTGTTTGTCTAGCTTCTTTGTCTGTCTAAATTCATAGCTAAATCTAATCTCCCAAATGGGGGAATTTTCTGAAGTTCCAGTTTGGCATAGGGCTCTGTAAACATTTGCTGGAGCGTTCCAAGACTACAGACATTCATGTACAGAGAAGAGCTTTATAGTCCCGATCCAGTGCCCACAGCGGTCAATGGAGACAAGGCTACTGATATTAGCGGGCACTGAATCAGATCCAAAAGGAACTTTATTTTAAAAAATCTTATATAAAAAAAGTATTTTTACTAAATAAAAACATCTTGAAAAGTTAAAATCTCCCTCACGTGATGGCTCCATTGCAATTGGGGCTACTCACTGAGTAGAGCTTTACAGGACTCTCTCTTCCGCCTACAACTCATGCCTCTAAATTGGGGCTTAAATTCCTTATTTTCACAATAAAAAACAGGTGTGACCAGTGCAGTTCACAAGAGTTTAAAAGTCTCCCAACTTGTACCAAAAAGGTTCATTTGTTATGACAGTTCATTTGTATTTGCAACTATATCTTCCTCCAACAGCTTCCCATGATCCTGCTAATTAAACTTTAATCTTACCAAAAAATTAGAATTTCAGTTCTTGTTAACAATGCACAATAAATCTGAACTTGAAAATATTACAAAATTCTTTCAAAAGCTTCAAATACAACACAAAAGTGTCCATTTTTGTTTTTAATAAATTGAAAAAATCTTTTTCACTAAAATAGTTTCCCCGCCCTTCCAAAAAATTCTGAACTGAGTCTAACTCATCTACAGTTAGCAAAGTGCCCCAGGTACAGCCATCCAAACTGTACCATCAAAGTGGGAACAAAATCAGTCAGTCTTGGAGAAAGGCTCTTTTCCTATCACCAATACCCTGCCCTTACTTTTCTGAGCTCTGCCTTTATGGTTCTTGTTTGATGTAGTAACTGGCAGATCCGTTGCTTTCCTGATCAGATGCTCCTTGAAGGAAGCTATACTCTTCTCCATCTAGCAACTCCTCCTTCAGCTGCAACGAAGTCACTAAAAACAAAAGATGAACATTAAAGAACCATAAAATTCAAAATATGTACAATTTTCCCTCAAATTTACTTAGCGTGATTTAAATTAGAAACAGATCCCAGATTTCCCATTTTCTTATATTCTGCTCTTTAATGATTCTTCTTTTAACACTCAATATCCCACAGAAAGTAGATGCTTTCTGACCTTAAATGGAACATTAAGTTATGCTCTGACGTTAGTATGTTTGAACAAGTGACTTCGAAAAATACAGCCTCCACTGGGGTTTTCCCCACAAGAATTCAGTAGTTGAGAACTGCTTTAAGATGGTAACTGAAACTGTAAATAGGAGTAACCATTATTGCTCAAAAGATTGCTTATTTCAGTGTTTACTCTTTAGTTTACATACTGTTTACTCTTTAGCCAAGTAAAAACAACTATTGGCCGTTTACCATCTACAAATCACCTTATTTAGCCCGAGTACTTTAAACAGTCTTTAAGCTGGTAAGAAAGAACTTTGATAAAGATTTCTCAATATATCATTAAATTTAAGATTCCAAAGATCAGTTTCATTCAAGCAAAAAATCTTTTTTTGGTAGTTTTAATCTTCTCTCTTCTTTCTTTTGTAAAAAGAAAATAGAAATGAGATCTAAGACAAAAAAAGAATGATGTTATGAATAGCAGTAATGTCACCATTACCTTCCCAATTTCATTAATGAATAGTGATAATTATCAAAATATGAGCATAACATATGAAAAGAACACTGAAAACAAAATATGTCAATATTTTCATTAAAGGTGCAGTACCCACAGTAAAAGGTTGATTATACAAAAATAAATGGTTCTCTATGACCAAATGAATGAGAAAAGTATCAAAGCTTATAGCTACTGAATACAAAGCTTATATGCATATCAGTGTATCTTGAAATGCAGAAATATTATTTAGTGAAAGCTAAAATAAAACCCGTAACCTGTTTCTACTTGTAGCCCTGCTATAACTTACAAGCCATTTGATCATTCTTTTATTACGTTCTATGTCATCTTCCATGCTGAAATACTCTTGTGCTAAATAAAAATAAAGTTTGAAAATTGAGATATTAAAAGTTGTCAAAAAACTGGAGCATGATACAAGCTCTGCTAATTTATTTAATGGATGCCTCCTCCCCATCTACATGGTCCAAAATCCTTTGCTTGTTTACACTTTTCCCTGCATTGTGTCCAGCTCGGATCAAAAGCCCCATTTCTCTTGGCCTGCGGAGGACAAAGGTGCTGTCTAAATGGTAAGAAACATAACTGTTTACTTAGATACGCTGCTAATACTTTCAGAAAATACTACACAGAAGTCAATAATATAATCTGAACTCTACCAGGCACGTTCCTTTCCCTCCTCTCCCGCCAGTATTTGCAGAATGCTTCTGCAGGTACAAGAGCAACAGCTGTATGAGAGCTAGAGCAGTCTCCACAATTTGGCTTACATGTGGCTAATCTGAACCCAAAGTCTTACATTCAGATATTTAATGATACTTTAGTTCATTTGTCCCTACTACTCAGCTATTAATTAAAACCCTTCCTAAGAAAAGCTTAGCTACAAATATACAACAAAACAGTTACCTGAAAGAAGAATAAAAAGTCTTATGGAAGTCATCTGACTGGTCATCTTGGAAGCAAAAGGGACAGAGACATGCAAGGTACTCTCTTTTTAAGAACTCTCCATGTTTTGCATGGAGACAAAGAAAGACTGCGTTTGATGTCATTCAAACCCCCAAAACGTCAATATGGTAATTAAAGCAATGGTTTAGAGATAACTATATGTGCACCGAATGTAGGGCAAGTCTCTCAGAGCGGCCTCCTTCCCCAGCAGGCTGGTTCCCAGCTCTTTATGGGAAACTGTCTGACAGTTGCATTTCAGTGCTTAAAAGATCATTTCACATGATTCAAAGATTCAAAATACTGGTGTAAGTTAAGGAAGCAGCATGACTTTGTCGGAAAGCAAAAATGCTTCTTTCACATAAGACGAAGCACCACTGAAATCATCTACGCTGCTGACGGTACAAGAGGGGAAAGAGCTCTTCAGTAAGCCTTAGTGAGATCTCTGATAGACAAGAGGTTTTAGACTAGATGCCTGTCTCATCAATAATCTTTCACCATTTTCATTCAAAGCCATATAAGAATCTCCTGCAAAGTGCCTATATCCTAGCTGTGGCTACTAAAATGTGAGACACTGTGATAGGCCGAGGAATACACACGCAATTTATGAATTCTGGCTGATCTCAAATGTGTTTCGAGACAATTACACTAGGGCTATGCTCCCGCTATTCCTCAGGCTGAAAACATGTGCTCTTGCTAAAAGCTAAAAAGCTAAAACAGCTTTAGATAATGAAAAGGCTGCATCATATATAAAACTAATTTTGCCCAGCCTCTCAAAAATTTAGGAATTTGGAATTTGAAAAGTTCCCAAAGAAGATAATAGAAAGCATCAGGTCTCAGAGAAAGCAAAGAACAAAGAGGTTGTGTAGGAACTCAGGGCTATAATGGCACAGAAAACAGTCTGTGCATGTATGTGCACTAAATATATACATTTTAACTGTAGATTTGCCAGAAAAGAAGAAAAGCCGTGCAGAAAACACGCTCCAGAATCTCCTCTCCTCTCCAAGGCTTCTGTTTTGCATCAAGGACTCTAACAAAGACACTGTACAAACCCAGGAATAGCAAGGAAGCTGATATAAAAAGTAACGTGTGCAAGTGCTTTATTGTTACAGCTCCTGCGCTAGATGAAGCAATTACATTTAGGCACTTCCACAAAATCGGTGCAGCTCTTTGTTTCAACTCATCCCTGAAGAGATGTGACAATATTTGGGCCCCTCCAAGAACAAGATGAGTTGAGAAACCTTGAGGAGCGCAAAGACGAGTCAACGTTTGTCCTCAGGGTCCAAAGAAGGTGGTAGGTGGGTTACAGTGTCCTATTCCACGAAGGGATAATTATCTGGACAAGAGCATCTGTGTTCTGGATGTATTTCATCATCAATGAAAAGTAGCCTACTCAGACTGAGGGAAGTTTAAGAGGGTGTAAGTTGAGTGAATTCAGAGATAAATCCACCAACCTGGCAACTGTCCTGCAGGGAGAGCACAATCCCGTTTGTCTGACAGATCGTAACTACGCCATATCGGAGAGAATATATATTGCCCTACATATCAGGAATAGGGAAGAGGGAAAACTCTACCCGTTTCTTGAAGTGGACTCCTATAATTAAGGATTACATTACATAAACTATCCTTAAATAAAGCTTAAAGTTTTCATCTGCTTGCTCAGTACTATCAATTAATGAATTCTTAAAGAGTTTTCCACTGCTGCCTCATACAGATGTGTAATTATATATTCAATACATAACCAAACCCAGGTTTTAGAGCAAAAATAGAGAAAAAGACTCAGCTTATTCTAAAAAGACAAAATCTTTTCAAATATAGTTCTTACATTAGTAATCTACGAAATTTCAAATAACGCTTGTATCTAAAGATCTTTTCCCCAGATAACTGCCTTTTTCTGACACAAAGGCAAAAACCACTCCTTATCTACTGTGTACAGTCTTTTTCTCCGCAAAAAATAATCCACACTAACTTCCTGTTCACATCAAACATTTCCAAACGTTCCCACATTACCATTCAGTAAGTTTAACTGCGTGCATTTTTGTATCTTAAATCTCTGTAGAGCTCCACAGTCCCCTTGTGCCTCAGTAACCTACAATCTGGCCTCATATGAAGTTCTGAAACAGCTGGAATCCTTCTTCCCTAAGATTAATTCAGTGACGTGGTGCATCAGTGAGAATGAAAAGCCCTCTAACAGGAAAAAAAGAAACAAAAAATAAAAATAAAAAGGAGAAAGAGAAAAAAAGAGAGTTGATGAGTCAGCCTATTCCATGCTAGACCATGCTTAGTTGCCCACCCTGTCCACCATTTCCCTCTGCAGTAACAGAGACTGATGTGGCTAGTTACCTGTTTTGAGGCTGGGACTGAACTCTCGGCTAGTCCTGGGAGGCTGGAAGGCCTCCGGGGCTGTCTGTGCTGGCAGGGTTCGATACGGAGGAGGAGTCAACTCGTCATCACCAGAGAAGCTCCTCCGCACCCCACCTGTCATGGGTAGGCTCGACAAACTGACAGGTTTCTTCCCAACTGGTATCTTCCTCTCTAAACATCAAGTCAAACTAAAATAAACGCTTGGGTTAAAGTGCATTAGGTTACTCAGAACGTTCACTGAGAACTGAAGCCTACTGAAGTCTAGGCCAGGTAGGATGCTGGATGATTTCTACTCCCTTATGTACGGTCTCCTGGTTCAAAATAGACCTAAGGCATTGTTAAGCCTTTATTAAAATTATTTTATTCTCTATTATATCAGTAATCACACCAAACCAAAGTGTTCGGGCGTTTCAAACGGTAGCAATAACAAACTACGCTAAAAAAAAAAAAAAACCCTAGGAACATCTGCATTATGATCAGGCTCTACACGAAACAGGTAACAAACTGACATTCAATTTTTCTACCTTTATTACTAAATGTGTGCTCATGAACTACTTGTGAGTCACATCAAATGATAGAGGGGGAAATTAACCTTAATTAAAGGTTGCCCATTGTAAAGATTAAAGAAAGGAATAAGAAAGAAAGCATGGCTGTGTTCTCAGCTCTGACTTTGTTCCTATGGATTAAGAAATCTGATCTTCTCTTGTATTTTTTTGCTGAGAAGTAAAACATTAT